GAGGGATATTAAGAAATCACTCTTTCTCCTTTTCCTGAAACCTCTGGAGGAGTCCCTTCCCTTCTCCCCCTTCCCCACACTTTGGTAAGTTCAAAGCAAAAGGAACAGAAAAAGCAAGATTAAAAAAAAAAAAAATGAAAAACACAAACCTCTTTCCCCATGTTCTTTTTTTTACAAAGAAGCAGAATATTCATGAGATGCCATACTGTGATATCATGTTTATGAGACATAAATCACTGCCAAGAGTTTGGTTCCAGTTCTTGGCGCATCCCTGATTTGATCTCTGACCCCATCCAAGAGCGGGTGACCATCACCCTACAGGAAAATGCGAGGTCCATCCAAGAGCGGGGAGAGCAGAGCTGTGCCCCCTGTGACCATCACCCTACAGGAAAATGCGAGGTGACTCCAGCAAGAGGAAGGCAGGGACCAAACCAGTCATTCTTTAATTTGCAAAAGATTGAGATGGTAAAATCTAAAATCTTGTATATTCTTCTCAGTCTCACTAGTGCAAATCAGGGAGCCAAAGACCAAAGCTTCAGAGCAGCTTGGTGTCACCCATACTCCATCCTCACCCCTGTCCAGGGTAGACTTGATCCTCTTTGCTGTAAGAAAGCAAAACACTGCTTTCAGGACCATCCTTCCCCACTTCCATCTCTGCCCCTCAGCTAGTGGAAATGAGCCCTGAAGTCACAGCAGGTTTGCAAAATGCAAACACGAGGCAGTCCAGAAAGAGCAGCACATTCAAGGGACTATGTTATTAAACAAATCTAAGTAACTGAGACACCGCTACATTGTCCCTGGGATCATGCAGGTGACCTCAAACCGTGCTGAAATGATGCAAGCTCCCAGCAGCACCCACAGCCTCTTTTTGTCTTTCATGGGCCACTTCATGCATCTACAAAGGACTGAGAGGAAAAGGCAGAAACTGCTTAATCACATTCGACTGCTGCTACTTAACACCAAAGTAGGGATGGCACCTATTCACAATGAACAGCAAAAATGTTTGTAAATAGTGTTGGAGTCCATAATCGAGAAAGTCTCACTGCATTTCCTTGGGTGGGAGACAGACCAGTTAATATTTTACAAACATCTACCAATGCCATCCCAGGGCACATATAGAAAAGGCAACACACCTGAGAGATATTCAGCCCTCTTCTATAACAAGCATGCCAAAAAAATAGAGATAATCACGGGAATTTGGGGGCAAAAAAAAAAAAAAGGCTTAACTTCTCCTTACTTCAAAATCAGAGGTAAAAGTTATTTCCTGTGTGACAGATATGTGACACTGATTTTATTTGTGTTTATCTTGAAGGAGCTTTGTTGAAAAGCAGTACATGAGTGTAAAATATCCCCACTGTTTAGCTGAATAGGAGAAACTTGCCTTTAAACATCCATTTTAACCTCTCCTTCATTTAAACTGGTGCAATTTCACCATTAAAGTGCGCAGTTCATTCAAAGCCAGCACTGCAGAAAAACACCACTCAGCATCCACCCTGCAGGTTTTTAGCATGGCTGCCCTGGGATCATCCAAAATTCATCAGGTGCTCATTAGTGTTTGAAAACCTTCCTTTTTCCCAGGGCAGTCATAATGATGCTCAGCTGCTGGGAAGGGAAAGAAAAAAAAAAAAAAAAAAAAAAAAAAAAAAAGAAAAAAGAAAAAAACCCACCCAAAATTTCATTCTTAAAAAATCAGTGACTTTCCAAAAACAACACTTGATAATTGCTTTAAATTCCCACCATATGTTGGGGTGGTCAAACATCTTCCACAGCACATTGCTGGTTTGGTTCCTATACAAGAACATACCATGAGGACCTTCCTGGAGCTGGCAGAGCTCCTCCCTGACAATTATGAGCAATTATCTTTGTGTGGTCTTTTATTATCACTTCATAAAGGCCAACAGTAGGAGGGGAGGGGAGGAGAAGAGAAGGTTGGGTTGGGATGGGATGGGATGGGCTGCTGTGGAATTATGTTATCTGGCCAATTTATGGTTGAGTGAAAGTTTATGGTTTTGGGTACTAAAACCATCTATGAAAGAAAAGGGCTGCAATTCCCTTGCAGCTGGGCTGCTCATAGAAAGCCTTGCTGGTGATTTTGCCCGTTAACTAGGACATTGGGCAAATGATAGTGATTGTGCCTTAGGTAGAGCTACACCCTTAGTGTAAAGGATGCTATCATATTTGGACGGATTCAGCTTAGTTAAGAAGTCTAAAATTTAGTTAGGCTCCTTTTATAGTGAATTGGGGGAAAAAAAAGAAACTTTTGGAACAGAAATCTTCTGTCCTATTTAGGCAAAAACTTTAGGGTAAGATAAATCACATCCTTAATCTATGGCTACAGTGGACCATCAACCAGAAAGGAAGCCCAGGCTGAGCATCTCCGATCAGATGTGTGCCATGCAGATAGTCCCTAAGTAGGTGATTCTTTTCCACTCCCAGTCTCTCCTGGTGACGGCAGTGCAAGCGGAAGGATCATCCTATTGCTCCTCATCACCTGCCAACTGCTCACCACTGCTTGGCTCGTCAGTTGTTGTCCCTTCAGAATGGCTAGTTAGCCTGCTTGTGCAATCAATCCCTCAACTTTGGGTTGGCAACAACCTAGTGTTTCCAAGACTAGAAAATCTGATGTTAAATATTGGAAATTTAGAATGGATTCTTTGGAAACCATTATCTGGCAAAGTGAATCCACTGGAAAAGAGAGCTGTGTGGGAGGAAAAAAAGATTGGAGATCTGTGTCTGGAAGGGCTGCCCTGATCTCTGTGGTGTGTGCTGAGGATGATAGAGGGCAGGGAGCTACTCTATGCAGAAAAAGTACAAGGAAGGCTGAAGAACAGGACTGGTGCCTACTGGAGTCAAGGAGAGAAACTATCAGTGCAGGAACAGTTAAAAAAGCAGAATAAGGGAGGACACTTTTTAAAGCTTTCCATAGCTTGGTTGTGAGTACTGCTTTCATCTATCAATAAAAAAACTTAAGCCAAAGGAGTCAGCCCAAGCCATCTGCTAATGTTATCTCTTTTCTGGAAAATCTTAACCCAGCATGAGTACATTATCAGCTGCTCCCAGACAGCGAGCGCACTGTATTAGCAGTCCTAAATTAACCGTGTGCTCAGCTGAGCTATCTGCAAGGAGAAATCGGAAAGAACTGGGGGACAGAGGCGTTTCACAGCAGAGGAACACTTACAGCAAACACCCATCAATCACGTATCCCTGCAACCTCTCTGTCCCTTGCCCATCACGCCACGGCGGGGAGGTAACCACAAGCAGAAGAGAATCTGGAAAGTCTGCATCGACTTCTCCCGAGTGTTTACGTCTGCTGAAGAGGTGGTTTGTGTAAAGCCCAAAACATGAAGCACAACACAAGGACACTTGTGTCCTTCCTTCAGTGCCACAGCCGATGGCTCCCCGCTCACAGCAGCGTTCCCTAGAGCCAGTGAAATTACTCCTGTCTGAACTAGTCGCAGGGAAACGTAAGGACTCTCTTTTTAATCCTCCTTTCAATTTTTATCACTGGATACTGCCCTGGTGCTCCTCCCTTGCTAATTCTCAGCCTGGTGCCCTTCTCCTTTCACCCAAGGCATTAACAGGCAGGTGTGGGTCAGGCTCGCAGGATGCAGGAGGCCAGTTCTGACAGCCAGCATGTTTTCAAGGAACCTACATGTATCTTTTGGGTGTCTCTTTCAATCTGGATTTCCCTCTTCATGGCTTTCAGGGAGCTTGCTGTTAGGATGATGAACACTGAGGTGCCTGTAACTGGACTTAGAGAGTCTGCAAGTCCCCAAGTCCAAACCAGTGACCCACAAAACCTTGCTGAGCAGTTGCAGAGCCTCACCTGTGCCTCTGCCTGACCCGAAAGCTCCCCCATGCCCCAGAAGTTAGTTTCTCCCTTCAAGTGGCCCTCTACAAAGGGCTCCCCACCTCCCTCCAGCAGGACCAGGCTGGATGAGGCTTTGAGCAACCTGGGCTAGTGGGAGGTGTCCCTGCCCATGGCAGGGGGTTGGAACTAGACAATCTTTAAGATCCCTTCCAACCCAAACTATTCTATGATTCTGTGACCTAGCCTGGCCTGACCACCCTCCATGAGGTGCCCTCTAACACACCCCAGTGCAAGGCTTTCAGCCCTATGATGGCCACTGGTGTGAGAGACATTTCTGCAGGAAGCAGTAGGGAGAGGGACACAAATTCAGTCTCTCCGTCACCCCACAAGCTGTAACCCCAGAGCTTTCAGGATTCAGGAGTGCATCCTATTCACACATAGGCACTGTGAGCCATTGGGCAGCCAAAAATGCAAGCGTTGGAGAGCCAGAAGGACAAGCCTGACAAGGTACCGAATGACTGGAGCACTTGTCTGAGGGATGAGCCCTGGCCATTGCCCTCTCCATTCCTTCTCCCATCACTGCTCCTCAGATGCAACGTCCAGACTGTGCAGGGAGCGTGGACAGGAAAACACTTTGGTAATCCTAAAGAATATAGGGAAAGGAGGAAAAGAGCCAGAGAGCAATCACCCTTCGCCTTCCTCCTTTTTGGCAGGCAGCCCTTTCAAATGAGATATTTTTTTTCTACAGAAAAGAGAGAGAACAAGGAACTGAACCCGCATCACCCACGAAGCACTGAGCACGTGAAGCACAAGGACCAAAAGGTGCTTCTCCTTCCTTGTGCCTTTGCTGATAAAGAGGGAGAGGATGGTCAATGCACAGACACTTGGAGGCACTGCCAAAACAGCTGGCCTTGAGCTACTCATGGCGGGGGGGACAGGTTTTTCACTCTGGGGGAAATACTCCTCAGGTCCTTCCCTTTCCTTATCCTACCTCCCTGTCATTACCAAGTGATCTCTGCAATGTGGCATCCAGTCACGTTGCATTACTCCATCCTACTCTAATTGTTTCAGTAAGTCACTTCTGTTTACCGTCAGGAAATGCAGATGAGAAATGTGCTCAGCTGGT